GAGGGGGGGGGGGAGAGACGGATACAGGAAAGAGAAAAAGTAGCTGGGTGTGGTGATGTACTCTTGTAATCCCACCAGAGGCAGGAGGATTGCAAGTTCCAGGCCAGCTGCGGCAACTTAGCCTCTTAGCAAGACCCTATCTCAAAAGAAAAAATGAAAACAGAGACAGACCTGGGGATGTAGCTCAGTGCAAAGGCCCTGGATTCAATCCCCTGTACCACAAAAAGAGGGGGTGCTTAATGGAAGGTAGAGTCTAATTGGATGACACAGCCACCGAGTGTGACTTTGAAGGGTGCATCTTATCTCTAGTCCCTTCAAGGTTGTGTCTCTCTCCCTGTCCCTCTCCCTCTCCCTTTCTCTCTCTCTCCCTCTCTCTCCTGGATACCACGAGGTGTGTAGATTTCTCCCACCATGCCCTTCCACTGTGATGCTTCTGCCCTGCCATGGGTCTAACAACAACAGAGTCAGCCAGCCATGGACAGACCCCTCTGAAACTGTGAACCAAAATAAATCTTTCCTCCTTTATGTGGTCACTCCAGATATTCTGCCACAGTGACAGGAAGCTAACTAGTTCAGCTTCCCTTCCAGTTATTTTGAAATATATAATAAATTGTTATAGACTGCGGGTACCAAAATAGAGTTAGATGAAAGGAATTCATTCTAATGCTCTGTAGAATAAGCTCTCTTTTACTGACTGCGGGTAAAACATAAATGAAGAACTGTCAAAGTAATAAAGTTAGTGAATGATGGGAAAGAATTAGCCAAACTCTTTCAAAATGAAAAGAGTGAAAGAGCTATCTGAGCTGAAAAGTGGCTAAGATCCAAGGTAAATAGCCAGCTTCACAAAAGTACCCATTTCGGTTTCAATCTTTTGTGCTTTAATCATCTGCAGACTTCGACATGGTTCTTACTATAAAGACAAGGACTCTGAATGAACACAAGGATAATGAATATGAAATATTATTATATTTAATATTATAATATCATTAATGCAACTGCAGCCAGAGATCAAGGACTTTTCAAATTAATTATTTCTTGTTCCAACACATACCATGAAATGGCCTTTCTAAATCACAATGACACATCCCAACATTTCCTTTATTAAGATAATTCTATTTTATTTCTTGGGTCTTTTCAGTCTAAGTAAGTTTTATAAATATTTAGGGGAAAAATTAGGTTACAAAATGCTGGATAATGCATGAATAGCAACCAGTGGGCTGAAATAGAGCTACACTGAAAACTGGCGTTAAGATCTTCTTGTGTTTAGTACACAAATTTCTACACAGCATTTGTGGGAAGATTAGCAACCTTATGAATACACTGAGAGCCTTATATACTTTCCATTTGCATTTTCCACTTTATTATGAGATTACAAAGGGAAAGTCACTGCTTGAAATATGTTTATTAGGTTCCCTCTGAATTGAGTCTTTACAGTTAGCAATAAAAATTTGGGCAAATTATTGATGACTTGTCCATTAATGTTTTCCCCAGGGTGGGCTTCTAATTGCTAGGATGAGTGATCATCTGCCAAAGCACTTTCCATTCTTGTTGTGGTCTCCAAAGAAATCTGAGGGTACATGAATACCATCCATGCTCCTTGGAGACAGTTGAAGCATTGTTACCTGTCCACACAGAGCACCCACACGGTGTGGTAGGAGGTGGTGTCCATTCTGAGGGGCACAGCTCCCTTAGCGGCTTACAGAGCTTTCCCTTTGCTGCACACAAAACCTGACAACCACAATTTAAGGGGGAGAGGGTAATTTGGCTCATGTTTTAAGGGGATTCGGTCCATGGTCAGCTGGCTCCAAAGCATAAACATCATGGCAGAAGGATGTGGTGGAACAAAGCTGCTTTGTTCATGGCAGTTGGGAAACAGAACAGGGAAATTAAGTTTTACTAGAGAGAAAGTGATGAGGGACCAGGCACAGTAACTAGGGACACATCTCCACACCCCACCCAGACACCCAGACTTGTGGTCTACTGATCCCCCAGGTGGATCCCAAAGGCAACCAACCCACCCTAACTACCACAAAGAGCATTTTATGAGTATATTTGCTGAATTCCAAGGGACATTGTGATAACTAACAGAACAGTAAAGCTCTGTCTGTGCTGTGGAGATTTATATGTAAATTGTGTGTCAAAGAAGGGAGACCCATCCAGATGTGGATGGCACCAACCAATAGGCTTGAAGCCTGGATAGAATAAAAAGGGAAAGAAGGATGTTTGCTCTTTTTCTTCAGAGGAGCTTTGCCATTGCCTTTAAACATCAGTCTCCAGTTCCTGCAGGTTTCCAGTGCAGACTCTGGCTTTCAGACAGAAACTCACAGGGATGGCTCAGCAATGAGCTTCTAGGCCTTCGACCTTTCAGTGTTATTGTTACCACATGATGAACTCAGATGGTAAATTCCAGGCTGTTCTGTACAATGTGCAAGAAATTGCAAGCACACCATCCAAAAGGCAAGTGAAAAGCAGCAACTTTGATTGAGGATCACAGGAAATCATGCTTAGGGCAAGTCTGTGTGTCTTAGCTTTCTCATTGATGAGACAAAAATAGCCCACACCCAAAGTTAGAGGAATAAAGGTTGATTTGGCTCACGGTTTGTAACGGTTTAAGTCCATAATTGGCTGGCTCCAAGGTAAAGTAACAAGGCAGACAGGCCTTGCAGGGGAGAAACAGTTCATGGTGAGCAGAAGATAGCAAAGCAAGCAAGGGACCTCAGCAGCTTCATTCTGCCCCTTTTATACTCTATCTGGCTACTGGAACTAAGGTGGTGCCAAAGCAATCAGTGGACTGATTTAGTAATCACACACCCTTAATCTCAGCTTCACACATTCTAGATTAAGCCACCCCTGAAAAAGCCCCACCTATGACCACGTGAGGCTTGTGGGGGACATCTG